CACGAATTTTCGCGTATCGTCTGCACTTATATGTTTGATCATCTAACAGATTCCCTCGAATGGATATAACTTAAAACCGGCGTGCCGTTTCTGTTTACCCTGCTATAAGTTCGAATGACAAATCCAAGCTCTCCACCACTAAATCAAAGAACAATAATAATAATAATAGCGACGACGTGCCATCTGCATGTATTATACGCGCGAGCGTGCTGTCACCGGATATCCGGTATTTCCAAGCCGGAAATGAAAGTGGTCGACTTACTATTGCTCCCTTTATAGATTGGCCTATAAAGCCACCCTAGAGCGAAACAATCAGCCCGGCCCTGCGTTGCCAGACCCTCTGGGCAGAGATGAACGAACGCCGGGTCATTTCCACGACGTGGGATGGACTCTCGTGCGCGGCCCGTTTGAAGAAGAGCAGCCATTTATTTTCCCCGCACGCGGAAGCAAACTTCCGACGAATTTATTGTCCGGGAGAGAATATGCTCAGTGTCCCCTATAGACTCAAGAGATTCCTCACGGCTGGCTTGAGAGACCGTACTATCCGCTCCCCAGGCGACAAATGCTACCAAGAAAAATGGAGACGGCTGCGCTTTTTGTGTACTCCTTCTTACGATCAAAATCTCCAATTTCTTGGTAAAAAAACAACAACAACAAAGTTAGGTGAATACTCCCAAAAATAAACAGCTGCCATGATCCGTTTATTTTTCCCTGCATTCATGAAGTGTCCTGCATTTTAAACGGCCAAGATACATTAGGATTCGTTGTGAGGAATGCTACATCGTCCCTGACAAACGTACTCTTGTATTTTCTTTATAACACAAAGTTATCATCACGCTGGCCTCTTGGCTCTTGACCGGCGCAAGATAATATATCTCTCTTTCTCTCTCTATCTCCCCCCCCCCCCCCCCTTTCTCATCGTGGGTCCCACTTCTCATCGTTATGAACCGTCATTCCCGACTTTTCGCTACTGAATCTCAGTCCCAGAAAGTCTCCTTTCTCTCAAAAGATCTTAATCAGCTCGTGTAACCTGTCCCGGCTATCTGCTCAGAGTACAATGTCGTCTGCGCAGAACATTCCTCGTATAACTTAATTTACAATTTCCCCTCTCTTCCTATACGAATATACGACACATCAGAAACTAAATTGCATTCATAAAATTTCCTTTCTATTCTTCTCAGGTATATTATAAAATGAAGAGGCGATAGGAGAAAACTCTGTGAACAAATAATTAAAACAGCACAAACGAACACAAGGACAAGTAGAAAAAGAGACACAGACACAGCCCTGACTCACGACTCAGTCTCTCATTGGTCTTCTTAAAACGCATGAACATAAGGAGGCAAGGAAATTAAAATAAAAATTATCCAACATGTAGGACATCTTCACTGATCCAAATAATATATAAGAGAAAGTATACATTACAAAAAAGAAATGAAGAAGTAAAGTAAATAGTAGAGAAATATATAACTATACATCGTTCTACCTTAGGACGGAGCAAAGCTTGTAATGTATACTTTCTGTCAGGACTGGGCAATATCGCGATAGAAATGTATCGCGATACTACCTTAGAGATACTTTCGAGTATCTGTATCTCTGTATCGAGATACATTCTAAAAATGTATTTGTATCTCAGTAGTGAAATACATCGCTTGTATCGCAGAGACTTTGCCATACTTAGGTATCGCGCTACATTTGTCGTCGTTTTGAAGAAACATCTTAAATGTAAAAACATCAGTTTGGTACAAGTTTCTTGGTAATTTATAAGATGAACACGCCTACATAATTCATCTCAATTAGTAACATAAAAAAGGAAAAACAAACTGTGGTTTAAAAAAGATTATGGGCAAGACAAATCAGCAAGGCAAATCAGCTCCCCTCATAAAGCCCTCTACTCTTTCCAATTTCGCAGAGAACACCCTAAAGGAGTTGAGTGAAGAAAAAGCACGGTCCTGTTGTACAATCTCCCTACACAATGGGTGACTCAGAAGCTTATAATACGACAGTCTGACATGCACCTTCGCAGCAAAACCTGGTTTATTTTAGACAGACGTCTTTTTCAAGAGTGATACACAGTCCTTACCTTTCTGCAACTACTGTAAATACTTCATTTTCGCGGGCTATATATTTCGCGATTTAGGTCAAAGAAGAAGTTCTGGAATTATTTTCGGCTTCTAATTTCTATAACGCTGTGGGAGCTCAATATAGATTTCAATCTGTTTAGATTCTACCGGCATTGTTAGCGGGACCGATTTTTCGCGAAATGTAGGCGATTCGCGAAAATTTGCTCCTCGCGAAAATTAAGTCGTTTACAGTATGTGGTTCCACGGGGATGACATGTTTTCTTTAGCGGCAATAATACTACATAAAGAGTTCGAGGTAAGGGGAACAGCATAAAACTACACAAAAAGGAGCACCAGCATAAATTACCATTCATATTCGCCACGAGCTACACCCTCCCCACCTAACACCGTTCGGGAACAAATGTATTTCTATAAGTATCTGTATCTGTATTCCGAAATACTTTGTCGCTGGTTTTGCAGAAGCATCTCAGGGATATCCCGTTACATAAAAGACAAATGTATCTCAGTATCTTTATTTTTGGCCCTACAATACGTTTATCTCTGTATATGTATTTCCAAATACCTTTTGGAGTGTCTCTGCCCAGCTCTGCTTTCTGTTAGAAATTCTTTGGTTGGCACATGACAGTGAAGATGTCCTACATGTTGGATTCTTTTTTTCTTTTTTTTCTTGTTATGTTGATGTGTTTTACGAGGACGAAAAAGAGAAGCCGTGAGTCAACACTGTGTCTGTGTCTCTTCTTGAACTTGTCCTTGTGTTCGTTTGCGCTGTTCTATTTATATGTTTACAGTGCACCACCGACTATCCCACCTCCAAGAAAAACTGAGAGAACCCTGGCTGGGTCATTTTTCTATTTCCGCCAGATTTGCTATTTATGGTCCTCATGTTACAACAACGCCATTATTTTTGTATATACGCTGTAAAAGCCTAATTAAATGTGCATCGAAAACGTACTCTCCCAGCTGCACCCAAAGTTTTTTTTTTTTTTTTTTTTTTTCGGGCTCACATTGTCGTGCGCAAGTTTAATGTCCAGAAATACTATCCGTAATGGTCTTTTCACTCATCCGTGCCACCTCTATACATTGAGTGAGGATAAATAGGTTATCATCTAACCTTCTATCTCTTCGGAACCCGTTCTGTAGCTCGCCTAAATCGTTTCCTGCTTATTCTTTTACTATCCTTTTTACTACCTGCATTGCAAGTTTGTACAGGACCGAAGTTACTGCTGCTAGTTGGTATGATATTATCAGATCATTGCCCTTTTTCTTTTTATTGTGATATTATTCTGCTTAGTTTCTAATTATTGGGTAGCAAGGTTCGGCGAACACTATAGTCCGTTGCAACCTAAGAACGAAGGGCGAGGGTAAGTCGGGCCGGGAAGGAGGAAGCAGACGGAACACTAAAGAGAGGAAGAGGCTTCCCCCTTTCTTCTCCAGCATTCCGTCTGCTTCCTCCTCCACGGCCCGCCTTACCCTCGCCCTTCGTTCTTAGGTTGTAACGGACTATAGCGTTCAATGATGGACCTTTGAGGAGGGTCTACTCACCGAACAGGCCGCAGTCACTCTGCTAATCCATCAAAACGATGATTTGCAGACACTCTCCGGGAAGCGTCTCCTCCTCGCATGGCGCTCGCGTCACGATGCTTCCATTTCGGCGAGTCTGTACAGAGTCAAATCAGAAGCGAAACGGCGCGGAAGAAGACAGGGGAACAAGTGGAAGAGGACGAGGACGCAGCTCTGACACGGTCCTTTGTAATTGGCCCTACAAAAGCTGTCAGAAGACGATCTTCGAAGCAGGTCTGAAGCAAATATGGTTCGAAGATGCTTGAGGCTTGTGCAGATAATTTTTTCATCATTTTTGCATAAAGCCAATACTTTGTTTTTGTATGATGTATGACCAGTACGACTCCGGCTTTTGGCGATTTTATAGATCATGGTCACAAAAGAAATATAGAACCTACGGTGTTCCGTTGCTTAAATTCGACATTCACGTTAGATGTCACGTGAAAGCAGGACGCCACGGTTACTTGACGTGAGGTCACAACGCCACGCGACGTCCCGTCGACGCCATGACGAGGTCGTGGTTTTCATTTATTTTCGAAAATATCGAGGATATTGAATATACTCAAATCGCAAATATGAATTCTGTAGTATAAATACGAAACTCGTGGTTCTTTTGTTAGGGGACTCAGGCGAACTTTTCTCTTCTGTATGTCGCGTGGTATTCGGATGGTTTTTCGTCCATGGGTTCCAGTCTTTCTGTACCTGCAAATTTCATGTTACATTATATTTCACGCAAATTACAAAATTAGCTCGTGACACTCTTTTTTCGCGCACAATGAAAGAGTAAAAACACATAACTCGAGGACAAATGGAGGCACCACAAAGACAGAGCGAAGGTTATGACTTGTCCATTCATTTTACTCATTAGTGACAGTGGACATGTGGACAGTCAACGCTGTTTCTGCGTAATTCTTCCTCATGTCCGTGTGTCGTTTTGTGACTTTGTTTCCCATTGTAGCATACACTCACTAGTCGATCTATAAAAGTCGCTACTTTTTCTCCACGCTGATGTTAATGAATAGAGTGTAAAAAATGTAATGTTTTCCAAAGACTGCCACTGTGAGTGAGGAGCTTAGCTGCCATCTTTAAACACCACCTAGAAGTGAAGGCTTGCGCCTTTTCCCCTCAAGCGTGGTCACTAGTGAATCCATTCAGTGCCACCTAACCTGCGCCGACGCCAAGACGGATACTTATGTATGTGTTGGCGTGTCTTGTTGAGCTTCAGCGCGTTAGCCGGATGGGGCAGGTCGGGGATCCACTAACGGTAACGTCATACGGGGGTTTTACCTTCTAGGAGGTGGCATTGCCTTTCTAGGTCTATAGACATTAAGTTGTGTCCGTTACCGTCTGCCGCAGTGTACCTGGTCCTGGGCTACTACTTCGAGCACATCGGCCTCATGGCGAGCATGGAGGCACGGGGGCTGCTCGACCGAGGTGACTATTTCGTGGTCGGCGTCGATGTTGAACAGTACGACATCGAACAGCCCAGGAGGTACCTTACCGGTGAGTACCTGCACTGGGTACACAGTAGACGCCTCCAATGGGTGGCTGAACCCATACGGATGAAACCTTTTAATTGGGCTTTGGCTTGCGCCATCTAGACAGAATATGGACAAAAATAAGGGTGGAAACAAGCTGGTGAAGGTGTAACATTTTAGACAAAACCCCGAGACTGGAGGGAAAAAAGACAACAGAACAGAAAGTCTCAAGCACAGCTAAAATTTATTGTACAGAATATCGTGGTTTTATAGGGTACAGGTCCCCTGAAAGCCAAAGGGAAGGGAAGAGGGAAAGGATGAATGTCTTTTTCCCGAACGCACAAGAGATGCAGGACATTGACCACACCGGTACAGTTCTAACTCAAACAAAAGGGGGGAGGCGGAAGATCTCTTAACCCACCTCGGTGAGGTCCTGATACACATCACAAAAGAAAGGGCTGCGGGATGGCGACCCATTAGGGGAAAGATCGGACATGCACAGAGGCGAACAACCCCCGGCATTTGTTACACATGACACAAAGCGGCAGGGGTGAAACTTAAACCCGAACAACCAACATCATACACATATATAAAGGTGACCTCCAAACAATCAAATTTGTAGAAATCTTTTCAACTCCATGTCCAAATTAAGAGACGCCTTATTTACTGCATTTCCGTGACTATTAATTGTGAGGGACTCTTTTACCAAGCGTTTATGATCCTCTCTTTTGGTCAACGGAACCGATGTGAAGTGAAAGGAGCGAAAGTACTTCACCGAGATAGCTTAGGAGATCTTCCCCCTTCCCCCTTTTGTTTGAGTTAGGACAGTACCGGGGTGCTATTGGTCAATGTCCTCCCTCTCTTGTGCGTTCGGGAAAAAGAAGTTCATCCTCTGGCTTTTTCCTTCCTTTTGGATTTCGGGGCACTTGTACCCTATAAAATTACGATATTCTGTCCAATAAATTTCAGCTGTCTTTGAGACTTTGTGTTGCGTTGTCGTCCCCCCCCCCCCCCGCCCTCCCAGTCTCAGAATTGTGAATAAAACGTTAGACATTTTTTTTTTAATTTAAATATTGGCAGTTAACTTTATCAGCGTTGCTAGATCAATGCAGTCGCAGAACTACTGTGGGGAACCAAAGACCCTTCTCGACAGTTAACCTTATTTAATCTTGACAGTTAACCGCAGATAACCGAACACCCCGTTTCTCTTCCCCTTCTCCTCTCGCCGGGTCGACACCTATCACTTAAAGCGCCATCGAGATGCTGTGTTTTAAAACAGTTTTCTTCGGAGGCAGTCAGGGACTCCGGAACCGGGTGGGGGGCGGGGGGGGGGGGGGGGGGCAATGGGGGCTTGAGCACCCACTGACATTTTTCAGGGGGTGCTCGGCGATATGAGAGCCCCCGTGCATTTGGCTCAAAGCCTCCCTCTTGTCCAGGGCCGGATTAAAGTACGTGGCTAAGGGGCTGCAGCCCCCTTAGTGCTGGGCCCCAGTGCTGGGCCCCAGTGCTGGGCCCCATAAGTTTGAAAAAAATGCTAGTCGGTGTCAGTGCAGAACAGCTCATGAATAAAACTCAGATCGGAGCCTCTGGGCCCTGGCTTTCTGACGTCATTTCATCCCTCCTCCCCCCCCCCCCCCCCCCCTTTTCTCTTTGATGCCACAAAGTTGCCTTCCCTAGACGAGCTGGTGTTTGTGAGTCTTCTAGGGCAACAAAATGCAAGCGTTGCCTCCCACCCTCCTTGTCGGAGAGAGCAAAGCTGTCGACGCTGGCGGTCCCTTTGAGGTCTCTTCTAATTAAAACCAGACGGAAGGACGGCCACGGAGTTCTCTATTGTACTGGGGCCCCGTCGACGCGTTGTACGGACAATGGTGTGTTGGAGGGCAAGCAAGTATTGCGGAAGGCTACGCGAGCAACATACATGCTACACCCTATTTTTTCTACATATTTGGTCTTTTAGCGTAGTTGCATATGGAAAGTTTTCTCGAAAACGACGAGCATAAAATAAGCAAAAAGAAATATCGGTGAGCCTCCCGAAGTATTTCCCTCTAACCACTAACAGCTAGGCGTTTCAACGAGCCGGCTCTTGAGACGCCCCCCAAAAGTTTTCGAGAGGCCACGACTGCAAGCTCCTGCTCTGGAGCCGGTGTCTGAGCTGCCAGTGCGAGACACCCTTTCTGCCATTCAGTGATATGATCTCTGCAATTTATTACGAGCCTCTGAGGTATGGCTTATTATTCTTAGCTTAGAATAATACGTCTAAATGGCTGCGAAGTTATAAATTACTGAATTTAGAAGAAACAGACCATTTCCAAACTAATTGAAACGTTTTACCCCTAAAAGAGACAGCATGTAGGAGAGGATTTAAAAATACCTCCTTGATTTTTATGAGAAATCCCCGTGAATGTGCCCAAATGACAGTGGTTGCCATATTACAATCTCATTCAGCCTTTTATAATTTCTTTTATTATTTGTATGCAGAAGTATGTTAGTTTGGGACATGAGAGTTCAGTTATAAGAAGAGGGTGGACGAGGCGGTTTGAGCCCTAAATACTTTAACCACCAAATTTACTGACTTAAAACGAAAGAAAGGCACAAGAGGACGAAACAGACGACACAGCTTTCGGAGCTCGCTTACCGCGTGGTAAGCGAGCTCCGCCAGTCAGACCTTGTGCTGCTCGAGGCAGACAAAGAGGGTCGATTCGTGGTAATCGATCGGGGTGACTTCTCCAAGAAAGCGGAGTTGGCCCTGGAAAAGAAGTTTGTTCCCCTCAAGAAGCGTCCGTCGGAGGCCCTCCGCTCTGACGCAAAGTCTCTCTGCTCCTCCTTAAACCTCTCCTCCCTAAAAAATCTGATCTCTTTTCCCTCCAAACAGTATATAAAACGAAGGCTGTGCCGTCTGTTTCGTCCTCTTGTGTGTTTCTTTCGTTTTACGTCAATGTAGATCACCAACACGCCCAAGTCTTTAATCAAAATTACTGTGTTGCGTGTTTTGCTTTATAGTTCAAGCCAATAATTAAATGGGTCATGAAACTATATCGGGTTGTAATGTTCCAAGAGGCGTACTGGTCCTAGGCTGGCCCAAGTGTAGTCGCACAGACCGCCACGAATTCAGAAGCTTCTTGGTCGCGGTGAAATTGCGAGGATAAAAAGACACTATTTCTTTCAGTCTTCCCTTCGCAAAGCTTGATGGCGTAATTGTAGGATCGAAACCACACGCATGACGACAGTCGAGCGTGGTTCATAGACTGGACACGAGAACCGCATAAGCACTCCATTTCAGCTCGTAACAATTAGTGCCTCGGCGGAAACTCGTGTAGTGGCTCGTGTCCAATAACTGCGGTGATGAAAATAGCCCAACTGTAGTAGTGCATGGAGCTCCAGCACACGTTTTCTACTCTTCCAACCCCAGCGCGTGGCTATGATTAACGTTAGTGGCCGCTTGTTCTGGCTTTAGGGAGTGATTCTAAGTGGTATTTACCAAAAGTAAAAAAAAATAGTTTTAAAAAAGCTAGTTAGACAAGCTCCAATCAATCGGAACAATTACTAGAATATAAACACTATATTCTTGGGAATGTTTTCGAGTTGAGACTCCCGAGGGCAGCTCGAGAGTAGCAGCTCTTTAGGGGCAGAGAATTGTTATTCTTTTTCTTTCTTGTAATAAGAAATTTACGGACATCCTTTGAGTTACTGTCTATTGCAATTTGCGCCCAAGTAATCATGCCACTTGACATCAAGGAGGTCCGTCTTTGCCATCTCTCTAACTCAACATCGTGATGAATTTATGCGAGCTGGCGACATGTACTGTATAAATAAGTTTGTAGACCTGGTCAACAAGTTCCTAGGAACGCGGAGTCATCATTTTAAACCTTTCAACGGAAGTTTACGAGGCCCTATGGAGATGCTCAATGTGCGTGACACTTCTTCACATTTTTCCCAATCGAATTAGCGTCTTGTTCCTAAACAGCCTCTACTCCACAATGGCATCTGCTTCATTTTCACCCCGTGGAACCTGAATTTCCTAATCTTTGAATCTACCGGCACAGAAACCTCCGAAGGTGTATCATAAAACGAACAACATTTGTATTTCATAAGGTGCTGAAATATGCACATTGCCGTCGCCATAACGGCGCTATAACGGCGGTCATCGGAGATATTAAAGAATCGCGGCCTTCTCGCCTGCATTTCCATTTGCTGTTTGGCGAGCCAGCCCGCTATGTTCAGGCGGGCACCCTATTATACACCCAGAGTGTTTTACCTTCTTTGGAAAAACGTACATAAAAACAGGAAAGATGCCGAAATAAAAAAGAGCATTGTCCCTGAAGGTTTACCTCCGAAGGACGACCACGTCTACCAGTGGTAATCGTTTTAGAAATTTTCTAGAAATTTTCACAGGAACGGAGCTGCAACGAGATATTTCATAGGAATGCGTCCACAATTAAAATGCACCTTCGTTGAAAATGTAAGCTTTCTACGTGCAGGCGTCCGATTTTCCATTGCGTTTCACATCGACACCGTAGATCCGTGCCACCGTATAGCTAGTACTACTGGATCAGATTGTGTCAACATTCCATGGATTTGTAACAGGAATTTTGAATGAACATTTGATAATAAAACTAATATGAACTGTAAAATATTAATTATAATTTTTTTCAATTTCAATATTTTTCGTCCCCCCCCCTCCCCTCCTTTATTCCGGCCGCTAGCCCCCCCCCCCCCCCCCCCCTCCCTCCATGTAAAATACACTTCCAGGGTCGCTGGAGGCAATAATCGATCAGCCGTAGTCCCCCCAACAGACATCTCCAAAACCGTGGCGTTTCGAATAAATAAGTGTCGAACCTTAATACTTCAACGAAATTTGAAATATTCCTGTCGTGTTCAAAAATAGGTTGAATATGATCCACAATATCCAAAAATGACAATCGCACGTTTGTATTTTGAGCCTGGTGGCTGTATTTTTCGTTAGAAACGGCCCACTCTGGCAAGCGCTCGGAGAAGGCCCAGCGGAGACCACGTGACATCCAACGC